CGTGCTAAAGGTTATGACATACACTGTACTGTACAGTATGACACAGGTATAGCACCACAATCATTTGGTTATAACGCTGAAATTTATGCTTCATACTTCTTTGTTAACGGTGTATTAGTTGAACCAAGATTTACTTTGAGAGTTAAGTCAAAAATAACTTTTGAAGATGCTATTAAAAGTAAAGCTGACAAAACAGAACTTGACGCAACGAACAAAGTTTTGAAATCTCATAAACACAATATCTCCGATATAAATGAACTTCAAGCTACATTAGACAGTAAAGCCGACAAGAACCATACACATAAATCCTTCACTACTGTTAGAGCAGACGACATAATATTGAACTATGATTTGGGTTCAAGTGCACCTTTAGAGAATCCGAGTACAAGCGTAAAAGATACTCTTAACAATTTAGATAAGAGTTGCAGGAATATCGAAGGTCATGCCAGAAACTTTGAAGCATATGACTACCAGCAATGTTAGACAGTAAAGCCGACAAGAACCATACACATAAATCCTTCACTACTGTTAGAGCAGACGACATAATATTGAACTTTGACCTTGTTCAAGTGCACCATTAGAAAATCCAAGTACAAGCGTAAAAGATACTCTTAACAATTTAGATAAGAGTTGCAGGAATATCGAAGATCATGCCAGAAACTTTGAAGCATATGAACTACCAACAATGTTAGATAAGAAAGCAGACAAAACAGAGCTTCAAACATTAAAGACAGAAATACTTCAAACATTATATCCTATAGGCTCTATTTATACGTCAATGAATTCAACAAATCCAGAAACAGTTTTAGGTTTTGGTATGTGGGAGCAGATTGTAGATAAATTCTTATACTGTGCGAACTCTTCAAAGCAAACAGGAGGTTCGAAGAAAATTACTGAAGCAAACCTTCCACCGCACACTCATACAGGAACTACAAACACAACAGGTAGTCATTCACATTCAATAACAAAAAGAGGTTATACAAATCTTGCAGCAGGTTCGGATAGACAGGGAATGCATAGATATGATATTTCAAGTGACCCAGTAGATTCAAGCACAGGTATTTTCTGTGGAACCACAGGAAATCATTCACACACTTTCACAACAAATCCAACAGGCTCGGGTGAAGATTATATGCCACCATTTGTGACTATATTCGCATGGTACCGCGTTCAATGAACGCGCTTGAGCCTAGAATAAAATCTTTAACTTTACATAAATGAGCTTGAAAGAAGTATTCGAACAACATCCATGGAGGTCTTTTAAGAAATTCAATGAAGCTGCAAAGAGTTCGGGATTTACTAACAGAGCTGAAGTGAAAAGGTTCTTTGACAAAAATGTTGTACATCAAACAAAAATAAATCCTTACGACTACTTTTTACCAATTTACTCCAACACTCCTGACGCATACCAATTTGACACTCTCATTCAAAGCAGAAAAGGAGGACATAAACCATTCCTCATCTTCATTAATGTTAACACTCGCAAAGCTTTTGCGTATATAATGAGAAATAAAGGAACTCATGAAGTGTTAAGAGTTTTACAAAAGTTTGTAGCAGAACATAGCCCAAGTATTTTAACATCAGACCAAGACGGTGCATACCTCAGCAACGAAATCACAGAATTTCTCATTAAGCATAACATAACTCACTACACTACTGAAGACCATAACCATAACATACTCGGTATCATTAACCGCTTCATAAGGACTCTCAGAGATTTAAATCAAGAGCGAGACTTTACCGAAGAAACAATGAAACATTTCATCGAAGTTTACAATTCCTCAACACATTCTACAACAGGACATACACCAAATTCAATGACACAACAACAAGAAGAAAAGTATATACAAAAGAAACGAAGTCAAACACAAAATATCAGAAATTCAACACAATTTACTCTCATTCCTGGAACAAAAGTTCGTGTAGTTCTTGACGACAAACCGTTGACAAAGAAACGTTTAAGGTTAAGTCGAAATTATTATATCGTAGACTCTACGCAAGGTAATGGATATCTTATAAAAGCTGCTGACGACTCCATAGCATTTTACCCTCGTCATAAATTAGTCGAAAGTAGTAATGGCAAACTTGCTGAAACCATTGACGAAGCAAAGCGAGGAGTGGTTATTGAAATACTTGACTACAACATAAACGATGACACTTATAAAGTAAGATATGAAGGAGGCGTTGAAGATGTTATACCATCTAAGAACTTGAGAGAATCTAAACCAACTCATCTGGGACCATTAGAGCGGGAGTACTGGAAAGATAAAAACATGCCAGAAAGAATAAGAAAATTCTTCTAAACTTTTTCGTTGGATGTAAATCAGACAAAAATATATTATAGGTGAAGAGGTGAGATTTCACCTGTTTTCTCACCTGTTTTTTCACCTCTTGAATTTTCGTGAATTTCCTTAAGATAGAAAAAATAAAGTTAGTTTTATTTTTTTTTTTTTTTATTTTGTATAAAAGATATGATTTCAACAATCGGCACAACAACAATTCAAGCCGCGAACGGCGGGACTCTGTCCACAACAACTTCACCAAACTCGTTAGTCATGAATCCAACATCTATGTTAGTAGAGATGGAAAGCTTCATTCCTTCTTCATTTACTTTCGAAACAGAAATACAAAAAATTAAGCAGGAACTTTTAACAAGTAATTTAGACTGTAGTGCGAAAGATGAAACAAATGAACAGTATCTTTATGAAATGGAGGACCTCATCGACCATTTACCTAAACTACCTGAAATTCAGCATCAAAAACTAACTATTCCTGAATTCGACGAAATTGAAGTCAAAGCAACTGACTCAGTAGAAATAAAGAAGTTCATACGTAAAGTAAATTATGAATTCCTTGGTTTTCATTGCAACCATAAAGTTATGGACAAAGATTGCGATATGGTATATAAGAATGTTTCTGACATATATAAATCTGAAGAATTTAAGACCTACGACAACTTTGTTTCGTTAGTTGCTGAATGTGTTTGGGAAATAAGAGATAAAGATAGAAGAGGCAAAGTATGGAACGAACAACTAAGACCCGCTATGTTTGAGATGAAGAGAGCAATTGACGCTTTAGTTGTTCTAGCAGGTCAAATTTCAATGTATAATGCAAAAATGAACCCACAATGTTCAAAATGTAAAGCAGCAATAAGGAAATATAACTACTCCGTCAAAGAGATAGAAAGAATGCGAAACGACTATGCAGACTTAAAGAAAGAAGCAGAAAAGCCAGCAGAAGATAAAATGGACATGTTAGCATTTCTGAACAAAAACTATCCAACAGTAGAAGATTTCCTTCTATCTGACGTCAAGAAGAAATATAAAGAGACTTTCGGCATTGTTAAAACTTTTGATATCCTCAGCGAAGAAATAGAAGCTACAAAACTGTTTAGGATTTCAAATATACATCGTACAATTCATGTAAAACGCTTGTGAAAAAAAGAGGTGAAAAATTAGGTGAAAAAAGAGGTGAAATCTCACCTCTTCACCTAAATTATATTTTTGGTCATTTACACTCATTTACGAAGAAGTCATGACAAAGCATTTACGATGAAATCTTGACAAGGCATTTACGAAGAAGTTATGACAAAGCATTTACGAAGAAGTTATGACAAAGCATTTACGAAGAAGTTATGACAAAGCATTTACGAAGAAGTTATGACAAAGTCATGAGGGTGAAAAATTAGGTGAAAAAAGAGGTGAAATCTCACCTCTTCACCTAAATTATATTTTTGGTCAAAGCTTCCACGAGAGAAAAGATTCCTCATTTGCTAAGGATTCCAAAAATGAAAAAATCGTTGATTTCGGCTGAGAAAAAACGGCAAAAACCCTTCTTCCACGGGAACAAAGAAATAAAGAAGAAATAAAGTAAATTTTTTATTTATTCCCGTGGAAGATAGAGCACTTTTATGACACTTTTTATTCACGACAAACAAGACAAATAAAGAAAATAAGAAAATACGGCGCTGTCGCGGTTCGAACCACAGACCCTGACCCCTCCATAACACCACCTTAGACCACTGTGCTACGTAGCCTGTCGACATAAGATTTTATAAATTGCATATTTGACGTAAATTTATTTCCATCTGGCTTCCCACTGCATAAGATATTCATACGTGTTTGTAAGACATTCATTAAACTTCTTTTCTATTGCATCTAATCTTGCGTTATTTTTTTCAATAACTTGTCTGTATTCTTCATCATCTCCAGCAGTGTTTGGGTCTTCACGTTTAAAATATTCATTGTTAACCAATTTTTTATCTACAAATTTTATTAGTGTTTGATTCACTTCGTTATGATAACGGTCATATTCTTTCAATACGTAAGTGAAGACAAAATGCGTCGTACCTTCAATCTTAAAGCTTAAAGAACTTTCAACACAGTTTTGAGGGTCTGTCAGTGCGTCAATGAGATAGTATTCGAAGTCAGTCAATAATCTTTTTAAAGTCATTTCATACAGGATAAAATTTAATGTTGTGAAGAAATAGTGTTTATCTCAAAAAAAATAAAGTTAGTTTTTATTTTATTTATTTTTTTATCCTGTATGTAAAGACAGATATGTCAACATTAGAGAACACAACAACTGCTATCGTTCATGAAGTCATAAATGAAGAATACGAATACATACAGTATAACAAACAATTGAGACTCATTCGTTCTGTCAAAGACGACATGTACCAAATGCAAAGTATTTTGACGGCTTGTTTTGCTCCAGATACTAAGCTTCCTAAAGACTGGTTTAGGAACCAAAGCACCATAGAACTATTAAGTGAAGCACAGCGAGACGTACTTTTTTCTGAAAACAGTGAAGAACAGCGAGTAGGTAAAAAATCCCAGTCGCCAAAACTCTATGAAAACCGTGAAAAATTGCCAAACGGTTTGAGAGGATATTATGTTCATAGACTTTTAGTAAATGCAGTTGCAATGTGGGCTTCACCACGTTATGCTTGGAATATTTACAAACTTCTTGACGAACTTCACAGACAAGAACGTGGAGAGATGGAAAAGAAACTTCAAGCAAAAGATGAAGTCATTGAATCCAAAGACAAAAGCATACAGAAAAGAATACCGCGTTCAGTACCAAAAGGAAAGGAAAAGAACTATAAGTATATGATTTATACTGAAGAGTTGGAGAATGAAGAAGACAGAGATATGGTTATGTTGCATTTAGTCAGAAGAAACAACAAAAGCTTTTACGACCTTGCTAAAATATATAAATCTGACAGAAACTGGTTCTATCGTGAAAACTTACCGATTTCAATGACACCGAATGAGCAAATAAAAGAAATTGTCAAAAATACTCTTCCTCAAACACACTATGACATCAAAGGTTGCACAATACTTACCTTCAAAGAAGACTTACCATTACTGAAGGAAAAAATAACAGAATATTTCGATAACTTCAAAGAGGAAGAATGAAGTCACGACAACATTAACGAAGAAGTCACGACAACATTAACGAAGAGAGAATGAGGTGAAAAAACAGGTGAAATCTCACCTCTTCACCAAAAATATATTTTTGGTTAAATAGCTTCAGGGTCAATTTCTTCAACCATTTCACTTCCTTCGTCAATGTCAATAGAAGCTTCTTCAACCTTTGGTAAGAACTTTTGTATAACATCTTTGTTCGTTATTGTCTTCAGAGATGAAGGATAATATTTCACAGATTTCACCCTTCTTATATTCTTTCTGTTCGGAAAGATTAAAGCAATACTGAAGAAGTCAATGTTGGAGTTCTTTATAACAGTATAATGAGTATCTTTGACATTCACGAAGAAACCCTTTTGTTTCAAAACTACTGCTAACTCTTGTGAAGTATAACGTTTGCGGTCAATGACAATAGCTAATGGTCTGACATACTGACCGAACTTAGATTCTTTCACAAACTTCTTGTTAAAGATAACATTGACGTTTGAAGCACCATTGAACTCATTCTTGATGGCAGTAGCGAGAGCATTGTATGAAAAGAACTTGCAATCTTGCATGTGTTTCATTAAAATAAAAATATTAAATTATTTTGAAAAATAACTTAAAAAAATGTAATCTAATTTTTCAAAAAATATTTTTTATCCGATAGAAAAGATGACAGAAAAATTAACTTTTTACATAGCGCCAGACCCTTCTTGCCCACATCCTTTTAAGCCACAATATATAGACATAGAACTAAATAGAGAAAGCGAAATTCCACAATATATATACATAGAACTAAATAGTGAAGGCGAAATTCTACAAACAGAAGAAAGCGAAATTCCACAAACATATAGAGACCTAGATAACGAAAATGGATATGCGCTATTCTGGTTAGATTGTCCTTATAAAATGTATGAAAAAAAGGCTTTATATGAAGAATATAGAAAATATTGTCATGAAAACGATATAAGACCAAGCTCTAGAGAAAAATTCTATGCTGGTATAAAACATCTTTTCGAAGTTCGGAATGGCAAATATATAAAGAAATAATTTTTCTAAGTTTATTTTTTCGAAAAAATATTTTTTTATTTCCTACTAAAGATGTATCGGAAGTTGTCTAAGTTAGAACACTCGGAAATAAAACAACTTCTTACAGAAGCTAATATAGATGTTGCAAAACATTACGCGACAAACAAAAAAGCACTCGCTGACTTCATTAAAGACTACAATGGTGCAATAAGTTATGATAGAATTCATGAGTTCATAAAGCCGCAACGCGGCGAGGACGAAGTCCATGCAAGAGCATTTCCTTTAAATGACATTGCTATTGACTTATATCATAGACGTTCAGTACCTCATGAAGTAAGAAGAGAAATGTTTGACATAACAAATGCGAACGTTGGTCATACTCGTAAAGCTCTTTCGCATGATGTTCGTCAAGAAATGTTTGACATAACAAATGCAAACGTTGGTGAAACAAGAAGAAGAGACGACACACTGAAACAACAGAGAAGAGAGATGTTTAAAAGTGCTATAGAACAAGTTCGCAAAGCTAACGATGTCATTCGTTCCATTGACGACAAACCAAAAGAAGGTGAGAGATGGTTAAAGAAAGATGAAGAGAATAGGAAGAGAAATGTGAAGTCAGGCAATAGACTCATTGACTTTAACATCGAAGCTTTAGATGAACCAAACAGAGAATATTTACACAAACATTTCGGTAAGGTTTTCATGAGACTCTTAGAGAAAATTAAAATAAACTCGCAACAAAGATGGATGGTATGTTATAAACTTGGTGGAAAGTATGAATGTTCTACGTTAAACCTCAATAATATTGGAACATTACTACATCAGCTCTTGAAGGAGAACTTTATATCAGAGATAGAAGCAAATGCTGCAGGTATTGTTGAAATGCACTATGACTTCTTCTTGACAAACATAAAGAATCTTACTGAAATAAAGATGTATGATTTAACAGAATATGAAGGCTTAACGATGTCAGATGTAAAGAAAGGCAAACCAAAAAAGAGACCATATAGAGATGAAAGCACACTGACAAATGACCAGAAAGCCATTTTGGAAGCTCTTAAGCAAACAGGAAACCCAGCACTTATAGAAAGCTTTTGGAAAGATAATGGTGAAAAGAAGTTTTATAAGAAGAGAAGCGGTCAGTTATGGAAGTATCTTTGCACATTACCTATAAATCTTGAACGCTACCAAATCTTCAATGAACTGAACAAAAGAACTGCAATACTTATGACAGAGGACAATTGTTTCGTTTATGCTTGCATTCAGGCTGGAGTAAATGAAGAAACTATTGACCACATGAGAGAAGTCATTCGTGTTAGAGACTTTCCTCAAAGTAAAGTACAAGAAATTTCTGACGCAACAGGTATAGCATTTAATGTTACCATTGGTTATTTCAATGACTCAAGACATAATGAAATAAAGAGATATATACCAAAAGAATGCGAAACTGTTAGAACTATTGACTTACTTCTTGTTGAAGACCACTACATGCTAAATGAAAGACTTCCAATGACAACATACTTCATTCGAAACTATAAAGAAATTCTCAAAGCTTGTGGTGGAATGAACATTGAGAAACAGATGAAGATTTATACAAAGAGAGAAGATAAATATGTAGTTCGTTATGATAGAACAACACCGTTATGGGATGTTATGAAAACATTGTGGGAGTGCAAATATTTCGAACCTATTTCTTATGGAGAACTTTTCACATATACTACTGACTTATATAAACAGAACCTTGCACCATTTAAAGATTTGACATATGCTCCAAAGTATTGTGTACAACTGAAGAAGAAAGCAGAGTCAAAAGAAGTAAATAAAGCTAAATGTAAATTCATTCCTGAGCACGTTTTCTTTGCTGACTTTGAGTGTAGTACGGATGGCTTTCATAAAGCTTTTAACATCTGTTATGACAGTGAAGATGGTTCAGTGAGTGAAAGCATTTGGGTCAAAACTGTGCAACAGAATTTTTGGAAAGACTCCCTGACAAGAGTTTAATATATTTTCACAACCTCAGTTATGACATAAACTTCATCTTAAGACACATGACAGAAGTGAAAGGAACTCCCATCATTAAAGGTTCACGAACAATGCAAATAACTGGTTTATATAAAGGACGGGCAATTATTATAAAAGACTCTTACAGTGTTATAAATAAGAAGCTTAAACTATTTCCTGCTATGTTTAACTTACAAACAGGACCGAAAGAAGTATTTCCATATAACTACTACAGCAGTGTTTTGTTAGCAAATGACAACAGAACTGGTGTCATTTCTGAAGCATGTAAGTTTATCCGGGATGCAGATACATTTATGAAAAACATAGATTCCATCAAAGGTTGCAGAATAGATGAGAACCACTTCGACTTAGAAAAATATAGCACGTTTTACTGCAAACAAGATGTAAGAATTTTAAGAGAAGGTTTTGTAAAGTTCCGCAATGACTTATTGAAAGAGTTTGATTTAAACGTTTATGACTACGTTAGTATTTGTTCAATTGCTAACAAATTGTTTGAGAACAGAGTATACTTCCCGAATGGAAATCTTTATGACCTCTCAAATAAACCAAGAGAATTTATTTCGAGATGCATTCAAGGTGGAAGATGTATGTTGTCAGATAACATGAAACAAAAGAGCAAAAAGAAACTCATTGCTGACTTCGACACTGTTTCATTATATCCTTCAGCTATAGCAAGACTTTATACTTTAGAAGGTATTCCAAAAGTATTGAAGGAAGAAATGTTAAACACAGAGTATCTCATGAGACATTTATTCGATGATGACCAAAAGGAACCCATTGGTGAAAAGTTTATGTCTGGCTTCTTTGTTCTCATTAAGATAACAGAGATTGGTATACCCAGACACTTTCATTTAATAGTTTGCGACCCTGAACTAAATCCAGAACTTAACGTTCCAAGAAGTTCAAACACTTGCTGTCTCATGTATGTTGACCATATAACATTACAAGACCTCATAAAATATCAAGGTGTCAAATGTGAAGTGTTGCAAGGATACTATTACGATGGAAACAGAGATATGAGAATAAGAGATGAAGTAAAGAAGTTGTTTGAGTTAAGGTTAAAGTATAAGAAAGAAGAAAACCCCTTACAAGAAATTATAAAACTCATTCTGAACAGCATTTATGGCAAAACTATTCTATCTCCTATTGAGTCAAAAATAACCATAGTAGATGACAAAGATGCTATAAGATATGCTATAAGAAATTACAACCATATAGTGAAGTTCGAAGGTTTGGATGGTTCAGATAAAACTATTTTCAAGCTAACGAAAAGCATTTGCAGACACTTTAACTTCTGTCCACTTGGTGTTAATATTCTGTCTATGTCAAAACGTATTATGAATGAAGTATTCTGTACTGCAGAGGACATGGGTCTTCAAATATTTTACCAGGATACCGACAGTATGCACTTATATAATGAAGACATCCCAAAGCTTGCAGCAGAGTTTAAGAAGAGATACGGTAGAGAACTTATAGGAAAGAACCTTGGTCAATTTCATAGCGACTTTGCAGAAATAACACCTGGAAAACAAAGTTTAGCTTATAAAAGTATTTTCTGTGGAAAGAAGACCTACATAGACTTACTCACGAATGATTTAAATGAAGTTGCATTTCACTGCAGAATGAAAGGCGTGAAGCAAGATGTTATTGCTTTAACCGCTAATGAAATGTTTCCTGAAGCTATACAATGCTATTACAATGAAGATAAGAACATTCACATACCTGTTGGAACATATGACAAAGACTCTGAGTTCAGTTTAATGAAACTTTACAAAGCACTTTATGATGGTCAAGAGATTGCATTCGACTTATGTAAGTCATGTCAACCTTGCTTTGCTGAAAAGTTCAACTTTTCAATAACGACTAAAACAAGCTTTATTCGTAAGTTGAAGTTCTGAGGTCATTTATTTTTGTCAGCAATGAGGTCATTTGTGATAAAAATAAGCCGCTAGCGGCAT